GCATGTGTTTTAGCTGGCGCAGGCATCCCGCGGTCGAAATCGGGGCCAAGTTTGGCCCTGGTCGATGCAGAAAAAAGCTTGAGACGCGGGAAGCAATGCAAGGGGCGTTAATCAGAGGAGTTGTTTTGGCCGTGCCATGTCATTTGCCAGTTAGCAAACGCCACTCAGCGTACGGAGTACGCGTACACCTTCATGCAGACGCAGTGGACCAAAACCAATTGGCTTACTGAAAACACTTTGCGCCTGATCCTTCGGCGCAACGGCGCCCGTAAATTGTTATCCGGGTACATGCGAAATATATTTTGGAGTTTATATTTGTAAGCGTCAGAAAGGCACTACCCTGCCAGCACAATCCCCGGACTGGACGGGGGATGCCGTCCAGGAGAATACGGGGGTGTACGGGGGAATCCGGGGGTTGAATAATTTTTGATTAACGAATTATACCTACACAGCCCATTTTTCAAGATCTGCTTTTTATCAATAAATTATGAACGACATTATCCGCCAACAAAACAATCAGTTTGGGGTCCATAAAAAGAGAAAAAGGGGGCGGCGGGGTAGAACGGGTTAAAATCCCCGTCCTGAGCCCCGTCCTGATTCCCCGTCCAATCTGGGGATTTCCACGTCCAACCCCGAAAAAGATCGCCAGTTTGGACGCGGCTCAGGACAGGGATTTTAGCCCGTCCCCCGCCACCTGAAAAAGGTTTTCTCATTTTTTACACCCCAAGTTGATTGTTTTGTTAGAGGATAATGTACTTAATAGTTTATTGATAAAAAAAGAGATTTTGAACAATGGGCTCTGTAGATATAATTTGATAATCAACATTTTTCATCCCCCGGATTCTACCGTATTCCCGTTTTGTAAAAAAATTCGACGACCTACGCACGCGCAGATAAAGTGTACACATTTGTAAGAATGTCAGCAGAAATTGTCGTTTTAGGGCAGTATTTGGTGATGCTTTACAATTAAAGGTGGACTATATGTCTTTGTTTTTTAGCAGTGTATTTTTAGCGTGTTTAGCGTCTAGTGTTTCCCACCTAGTTCGGATGTGCGACAAGTTTGACACCTCTGCATCTTCTGCCTTAGCTGCTAAATGACAGTGGCAGATCTGATCATACTGAAAATATGACTATTAAAGTAGTGTAAGTATCAGTATCACTATATTTGAGGAAGATATAAATGGGCCACCTTTGAGTGTTCGTATAGAAATGTGCATAAATGTATGTAAAAATGTATTTAAAAAGTGACGCTTATTATTTTTGATTTGCTCAAACTACTTTAGAACATACCTAATTCTGATATTGTAGGAACCACCTCTGGATATTTGAGGGAATGCTCCTTATGCACTCTGACATCGGGGGATGAACGAACTATATTTACTGTACACATACATATTTTGAAATCTATTTTTTTATTAATAAATTATCAGTAGCCATTATCGTATGCCTTCTCCTATGCACTTCAAATAAACAATCACTTGGGGGTTAAAACGCGAAAACGGAGGCGGGCGCTGCGAAAATGTTTTCTGCCGGCAGGCCAATCCGGGGCTGGTACTGGCAGGAAATATTTATGCTACACTAGGGCGATGTGACTTCCTAACTCCAATTGCAATCGGCAAAATGCAAATACCCTAATATAATGAAATTTAGGGACAAGGTGCCTCAAAACCCGCCCGACCAATTAGCTCGTTATAATAAAAAAATTACATGTCGGTGAAGTTGGGACACCCACGGACCAGTGTTAAAGCACCCATCAGACAGCGAGAACAGGCGACCAATAGAAGAAACGTCTGACATTATTTTCAGAGACAGGAAATGATGCAGTTGTATCCCGGGAAGGAAAGGCTCATCCAATCCCGTATTGGGCGAGCTGAGGACTGGGCAGTGCGGGAGCACAGCCCCGTTAAATTTTGACATATGTATTATTCAGGAACTTCAACTTTTCTGAATGCTGCTGGCAGCCCTAGATGCACACGCGTGTATATAGTTGTGTAGAGCGTCGTGGTAGTGTGAGCTGCCGTCTTGTCCACCCGAACACCTAGAATTTACGCAGTTGCATCAAAGTATCAGTAAATCTAGGTGCTCGGGCGTTCAGTCAGCAGCTAGAATAACAGACTTTAGGTAGAAAACCCAGGTTAGTGTTGGTATATTGCCTACAAATAACTGTACATTTCTTTAAGGTGAAAGTTTCAACCACGGATATTATCCGTAATGAGAATCGTTTTCCAAAAAGAGCACTTTTTAGAAGCATGTCGCGACTTAGCACTCCCTCACGTGGCCAAGTTTCATATGGCGCAAGATTGGTGGTTCGCACATGTGCTTGACGTTTTGTGGGTCATACTAATCCATTGTCCGGGAGTGAATTTGTAGCTAGCTTAAACGGTGATTTTCACGGAACAGGCCTCAAACGTCGTTACCACTCAAAAACTATGCCAAATTATCTGCCAACTTAGTAGAAAGCCCTCGAATTTTACTGACACTGTTCACGATGTCAATGGCGGCTTTAATGCTGACAACTCTGGCAAGTGAGTAGTTCCGGGCACACACAACTCCAAATATTAAAAACACTAGTCAGGTGAAGTAGAGGCGTGCGAATATGAATTATTCAGGATCCTGAAATTTTCTGCAACTATATAGACAAAGCAAGAAAGATATTATCCCAAATCGACGTTGTTCGCAGGGCCTATTCCCCTCCCTAATAAGTGTCTACCGATCATATGCGACATCTCAATTGCCACAAAGATCCATTTATCAGGTGCATCCGTCCAGTCAGTCCTACTCGACCGTCGTGAATACTCGGCATTACGAAGACTGAAGATATTTAAACACCATTGCCGGAGGACCACCCCTTGAGTAAACCATCTTGTCTTCTTCTCAAATGAGGCTGTCTGCACTTGCCGGGGGAAACTGGGGCACCTTCTTAGTCGTCCGCCGCACGAATCCTGTGATATTACCATCGGTCCGGAACCTTATCCCGCCTGGAGGCGTCGAAGATGTCAAACCAAGGTATTGATCTACATATTTCATCAGAAGACGCCACTAGGGAGGTGCACAAGCGAACATACCTTCTAACACCAATGTTAGTGAGCCATAGTGTCAAGCAATCACCAAGCCAAAACTCAGGACGTGCGCAACGACCACCGATTAACTAGCGCAAAAAGGGACTAGTCTCCTGGATGAAGAGGGGCTGTTAGTTTTCACAGGTATGCATCAGCATAGCGACTGTATCCTTAAAATACTGCAACCCCCTACGTACGAACTATCCCACCTCTGATTATGGGCTCGAAAAGGAATCCGCTACGTCGGCCTCTGCGATTGCGTCTACTTCCCAATTTCGGGATGATGACTGAATTAGCAAATAAAGTTCACTAACGCCCCTTGCAGGTCAACTAACCACCATGGATCCTTCCCTTCCTCTTGCCAAAAGTACGCGGACCTCTGCATCGCCTGCAACTTAGGCAGGCGCGTGGCCCATTTACATAACCAACAGCCGTCCTTTACTGATCCCGACATCGCCCATTTCAGAATGACCTCATTCTGACACTTTTTATTTCACCGCGTTACATGCTCCGCTCCATCCTTGTCTGCCGCTGCCTACGAATCTATTATGTCTTGCTGCTCATCGTTTCTCAGGACCTTTTGTAGCGTTTGAAGAATCCAATCTCATTACTTTCGGAACCTGCTGACAGTAAGACTGCGGAATGGATGTCTTCCGCTATTCTTAAAACGCTAGTACAGGAGTCTAGGTATCCAACACACTGTGTATTTGCAGGCCATGTTGTTAAGATGGTTCGGAATAGATTTCGACGTTGGTCCAGGAAGAATACACCGCCTTTTATACCACACCCAGTGGACAACAAACTGGCCTTTTCTGATGGGATTTTGTTCTAGGCAATAGAAACCGGTTCCGACAAACCGATCATAAAGCATATTCTATTCTACTCTATTTGAAGACACTTTGCCTTTTATGGTCAAGGTAGTCTGTGAGACACTTGGGCCGAATTCCGCTCGTGGCTGTCTTATTGGAGGCCGGCACGCTAAACTTCGATAGACGTAAAGAGGCAAACTACAGGAAGCAGTCTAGAAGAAAATGTACCTACTGTACCATGGTAATTAGTGGTCTAACGCCCAGGCTTGTCGCCGGAACCCAGTATCAGAAAAAATCACATATACGAGTTCGTCTTCAAATAATCCAGATTTTTCTTCACCGCTTCTCAACGTATAATACCCGAATGTGTTGAAACTGCGCGATGTCTATATCTTCCACGAGCAAGCGAAATAATAGAATACTAGGCTACCAATATGATTTTAGTAAAATAACACAAAAAGACTATAAATAGTGGGTAGATTGTTCCGATGGAAATGCAAGGGATTAGGAAAAGCCAAATACCATGGTCGTCAATCGAACCGTGGGCGGCGGACGTGTTGACGCTTTCTAAAAAGTGGATCAAATGTGCAAATTGGGGAAGGGGGATCACCGCATTACTGCTGGGGACTCTCATCCAGCCAGTTGAACGTCGCTTTGAGGGCGCGCATTCGGACTGTCATTCTAGTCAAACAAACTGTAGCCGAAGTCATCGGAATCTGAGGTCTAGAGGACAAGACTGAAGAAGAAGTAGCCGGTCGTTTACCAACGACGGTTCGGGATGTGGACGACCGCTTTCATCTGGTAGTCCATCCTGCGTCTTTGAAGTGGGGATGACGTCCTTCGTTGGCAGAGAGTCTCTCATAGAGTTGAGCAACTGTTCCAAGCCTGACAACCGCTCATGTAGCTGTCCGTTGTTCTGCTTTAGCAACTGGACTACTTGCTGCAACTCCCAGAGCTCGCCCGTTGAAGTGTGCGCCTTTGATCGGCCCTTCTTTTGCTTCCTTTTGCAACTGTTCCAAGCCTGACAACCGCTCATGTAGCTGTCCGTTGCTCTGCTTTAGCAACTGGACTACTTGCTGCAACTCCCAGAGCTCACCCGTTGAAGTGTGCGCCTTTGATCGGCCCTTCTTTTGCTTCCTTTTCCGGCGATCTTTAGCGGAGGCTGTAGCTCCCGACAGTGGCGCGCTCAAGCCGCTGTCGTTATTTGAAGTCTAGAGGATAGGGCGAAATAAATGACTGGCTACTTACCGATGGCTGTTTGCGATGTAGACGACTGTCTTCATCTGGTAGCACATTTGCAACATCCTTCGGTCTAGAATCCAGCAGGAAGGGGAAGGAGGGTCAATAGGGCTGAGCAACTGGATGCATAACTACTACTACTACAACTACTACCACTGGTACTACTACTATTATTACTACTACTAATACTATTAATAGTACTACTACTAGTACTACTACTACTACTACTATTACTAGTACTACTACCAGTACTACTACTACTAATACTACTAGTAGTAGTACTACTACTACAATCACTACTACA